TGTCGTCACGCTCAGAAACGTTTTTCTGCTGAACGAACTTATTCTTAAGATTAATACTTCTTTTAACAGCAGGAAAAAAAATCCATCACCCCCCCCCAACTTCATTTTTGTGTGCCAAAAATGCAGTCCTCTGAGACCTGTTGTAGGAAATGCAATGGATCCAGATCATGAAGCCTGAGAAGAACAACATTCTTTTCTTATTTTGTAGATTTTCCAGAATGTCTCTTGTCCTTTACCAATTAATAAAAAGGAGATCGGAAGAAATGACATTTTTCATATTTCCATAAGATTTTCCTCCTAGCAGTTATCTTCATACAATGAAAGCGGGTTTGATTATATCCCATCAGCACTATCTATAGACGGTCCTATCTACAGTAAGACATATATATATATATATACATATCCTGTATATATATTAGAATATACAGGTGACCTAAGAATTCTGGGCTTAGACAATTCTTATTAATAACATTCATATAGAAATCTAGCAACATCAATGAACCTTAACAATGTACCCAGTGAAAGCAGCTTGGCACAAAAAGAAACACATTTTGGATGATCCCGTTTCTATGAACACCCAGAAAAGTTCAGTCTACTGAGACAGGAAGGCTGGTGTTGAAACTGGGCAGACGGTTTCTTCTAGGGCTGATGGACATGTCCTAAAACTAGACTGTGATAGCTGTCCAACTCGGTAACTACATTAGAACCTCTGAGTTGTACCTTTAAAATGGGTGAATTTTTGGTTTATAAATGATACTTCAATAAAGCAGTTGAAAAATAAACCTGCAGGGCTGAACTATTTTCTAAAGAAACTTTTCTAGGCTGAATAAAATGAAAAGTTTGAAGAAATGAATTTTCCCCCAGTGAGAATGTGATTGTGAGTAATGCTCTTAGGCTGAATAAAAGACCAATCTTGATCAAGAAGACATCCTGTAAGTATGTGGGACATCTTTGGAATATGGAAAGGCTTTGCTTCAGGGTGCTTGAACTTAAGGTAGAGCGGTACATATTTCTCCCCTAAGTAAACATACACTAGAATGGGTACTAAAGGAGAGTGCCAGTTCTCCTAAGAGCAATTGTCAGGATTGGTAAACCAACAGCTATGCGTCACAGAAGAGGAATCCATCATATCTGGGTGGACCCAGGACACTTACCCGATCACCTGGGTTATTAACAACACGGCGACCCTCTGATACACAGATTACTGAGGAGACACCAATAGTGGCTCGTGGTGAAGGTGTTCATGGGCTCCCTGATTGCTCATTGTGATTGTTGGGATATCCTGTTTTGGTTCTACTTCTGCTTTGACAATGGACTTTTATTTTACTATTTAATGGTATTTCATCCAAAAGAGTAACACCTAGATAAGACCCCCTACCTAAATTAAGGCTCTTAATAACATCCCTGAACAAAAAGGCCCTGAGACAGTAGACAAAGACTAGCCCAAGGTTACTATCAGCTTTGAAATGATTCCTCTGCTGTCAACAGGTGAGTAACATATATATACACATACACACACACACACACACACACACACACACACACACAGTATGTTTCTCCATGGTAAGGACCTAACCCCCACCCAAAGACATGCTTGGTAGGGTAGAGGGTTGATGAAAGAGAGGAAACCCTTAGGTCCTGAACAGCACTGACAGTATACCACACACTTATGTAGCAATACTTTTTTGACTCACTCTCATGAGCTGTTACGGAAGGATTTCTGAGAAGTACTAGTAAATATGAAGAGTGGAGTGGGAAGACCTGTGAATGGTCTGGTATCTTTTGTTTAAAAAATGTGAAGTTTATGATTTTTTTTTCCCTCCAGTAGGAAAGAAGCCAACAACAGTTCAGAGGAAAGGGGATGGAGGTGGCAACAGGGACTTCCACATTGCATTTTTTTTAACCTTTCTACGCTATCTTAAAGGAGTCCGATTAACACTGTGGGTTAGGTGTGTTGGTCTGCTAACCTCAAGGTTGGCGGTTCAAACCCACTAGCAGCAATACAAGAGAAAGGTGAGGCTGTCTTCTCCTGTCAAGATTTTCAGTCTTGGAAACCGGCCCTTTAACACAGTTCCTCACGGTGTGGTGACACTGCTCCCCCACCCCAGCCATACCATGATTTTCGTTGCTACTTCATCACTGTCATTTTGCTCCTGTTCTGAATCGGGCAACCCTGTGAAAGGGTCCTTCGACCCACAAAGGGGTCACGACCCACAGGTTGAGAACCACTGCTAGAGCGTTACTATGAGTGTGAATCAAATTGATGGCAGTGAGTTTGGTCTGGGGGATATTTTCTGAAGTTTCTATGTATCTGTGTTATTTTTAAATTGTCCATCTAGTTGATAGAATTGTAGCCAGTCTGATTTTCTTAATGTGTAATGAAATTAAGAAAATTTTAATGTGCAACACGGAAAAGACTTTTAAGCTCCTTGGGTGTGTGTGTGTGTGGGGGGGGGTAGTCAATGTTTGATTCCTTTTGCAGCCAATGACGTTGCCTAGTATGTTACCCTGTGTATGTTTACTTGCTCAATAAACTTTTGCAGCATTGGGGAAAAAGAGGTCAATAAATGTTATTAAAATATTTTAAAAGTAACTATAAACAAGCCAAAGAGCTGAGTCCACTCTCTGAAGCACTGCTGAGCAAGGTCCAGGAGCTTACATTGCTCCTCAGGAGAAAGGCAAGACTATCTGCTCCCCTAAAATGAACGGCCGGGAAACGCGACAGAAGGTCACTATGGGTCAGAGTCAACTGGCGGGCAGTGGGTCTAAGGAGTATGACGAAAGCTGGAATAATGCAACTTAAACGACAGAGTTCTCCTGCATTAAGAGAACTGCTCGGCACCAGAAACACTTCCCCACCAGACAGAGATTTAGAAGTGTCCGAGTCAGTGTGATTCACCCTCCCTGACCCTAGAGCATCACTGACCAGTCCACTGCTTCTCTGCTCCAAACCCATCCTCCTCTGCTCTGCTTTGTGATAGTGGAGCTGGACCTTAGCAACATTGCTCCTCTTCCACTGGCACAACTTTCAGCTTGGTTAGTGAGGGTCTTGAGGGGACGCTGCAGGAGGAAGTAGCTTCTCTCCTGTCTCTGGTGTGTGCCTTTGTCTCTCTCCTTGCTCCTGTGGTGTGTGCCTGCTCATGGGGAATGTGCGGCACACGCAGGGCTTTCCATTTCAGTGGCACCTGGGTGGTGGCAACTTGGGGAGCTCCAGTGGAACCCCACTAGGCAGATCCCCAGATTTCCAGACTGCTTCAGACTTCCCAGCCCTGTAAGGTCTGGTCCCTGAGATAAATCACTTATTTCACACGGTGGTCCTGCTCTCGTGATCAAAGCCTCATTGACATACAATGGACAATGATTCAGCTTATTAAAAAGCCAATCGTGAGTGACTTGAGCAATTGAGTTTCAACTGTCAATTCTTATTTTCTTCAGTGTTCTTATAACCACGTGATTTCTCACTGTAAGTAACTTAGGTGTGTAAAGTGAGAAAAAAGTTCAATGCCATTTTATTGAACAAACGACCACGTGAAGAACCTAGTTTTCTGACAATGTTGAGACACGGCGACAAATTTCCTAGGTAGCTTAGAGTCTGGCAGAGGCTGGATCTATTATTGTGACAATACTCTCCAAGCTGCCAGGGGAATGAGGCAAAAACTCTGGAGTTGTGAGAACAAGACTAGCATGTGTGGGATGCAGGAACCTGGAGAGGGCTGGAGCTGGGTGTTAAGCTAGGGAGGAAAGACCACAAGATGCTGGCCAAGGTCCAGTCAGTTGTCTCTCGTGTCCAAGTCCAAAATTCAATTTTCAGCATTACTTTGGATTTTCCTTTGTTTCCTGAAGCATGCTTGGTATGACATGCCAGTTCTCAGAGGTCTGAACCTCTTAAAATCCACTTTCTGTGTTAGAAAACCAGGAGATGGAACGTAGCAAGAAACAGGGATAAGTAAGCAATGACTTAGCAGCAGAGAAAGAGCTCTTGATTGTAGAGAAACTTCGGGTCTCATTTTCAACCCAGACTGTGGACAGATTTTTTTTTCCAAAGAACAACTTGTAAGTAAATATTTATTGGGTGCCTATTAGAGCAAAAGCATGAAAGAATATTGTCAGCATCCAAAGGCATGGCTCCTTTATGTCTAGGCACATCATCTTGGACCAACCAACAGATCTGGGAATGAGGAATAAGCTATCCTGACTCGGAATACACGCAGTGTGTCATAGCGGAAGCCAGGATCCCTTTATAACCATTTCCTTGAAGTCCTGGGCCTCCTGAAGCTGACCGTGCAGGCTGCTCCACAGTGAATGAGCCCGCCTGGCCCAGGTTGCTTCCCATTGCACATTCCAGAAGGGCACAGTAAATGCTGTGCTCTGAGTGTGGTTATCGCATTCCTTCTAGGTATCTCACAGGAAAAGCGAGCGTAAGGAGAACTTCTGGACCCTTTGCCAAAAGAACTCCTCTATTTTATGAGAAGGCATGGACAGAACTGTAATAAGTGACAGGATGAAAAACAAATTTTTTACACATTCCAGAGAATTCGCAAAAGAGTTGCAGAAAATGCCAACGAAATGGAACTCTTACAAATATATCTAATTGCTGTCCCTGTTGAGTCCACTCTTTCATTCAACAAACATTTACTGAATGGCCCTGGGAGATAGCAGCAAGTAAGACAGAGATGTGCTCAGCTACATGGAATTTACTTTTTGAGTGAAGAAGGAAGGACACTGGCAAACATGTGAACTAATCCATACGTAATATGACTTCAGGTTCTAGAAATGAAAATAAGGCATGGAAGAAATGGGGGAGAGTGTAGCTCTGAAAAATGATTTGGTGTTCTGTGTTATATTTCCTACACATCACAAGCAACAGATGGTATAGAAAACACAGCCACAGATCACGTCTTAAGTATGCTGAGGACACAGATTCATGTGGTTCCCTGATGAACCACTGGGTGCACAGATATAAATCATCATGAGCTTCCATGTAAACCAACAAAACTTACCCTATAGAAAGCACTGGTCAGGGGGAGCAAGGCTGCAGCAATGTTATATTCTTCTAAACTTGAACAATCCTTAAACAAAACAAAGACAAATGAGCATTGTTGGGACATTTATCCAAATGCATAAATACATGGAAATCAAACTCTGATCCTCATTATGTACTTTCCTGGGAGATTTGTACTTGGAATCCAACTCGCCACTAAGCTATAGGTAAGTCTGAAGGAAAGAATACTGCCCTGAAGCACATTTTTAGAAATCAGGCAAAGTTAAGTTGGGGAAACAGATCTTTTGTACACGCTTGGTAAACAGCTACCTTTCGTTTCCTGATTGTGTAAGTCTGGGTACTTCAGAGAAACAAATCCACAGAAACTCATGTGAAGTGAGAGTTTTATATAAAGGTTAAGTGTGCATCAAGAAAACATCCCAACCCAGTGCTGCCCAAGCCCACAAGTCCAACATTAGCCCATTAACCCATATGTCCAACACCAATCCACAGAGTCTTCCTCCATCTCACAAAACCGATGCAATGATGCCAACTGCAGGAGGAA